GCAGTGGGGTGCCCCAAGGTTTTGTTTTAGGCCCAGTACTGGCTTGTGAGAGCTTCCCACCAGGTGAAAGGCGGATGGACTCTGGCGGTGATTAATGCTTCCCTACAGGACGGGGTGGTGCCCCAGCACTTTACTGAAGCTGTGGTCTCTGATGGGCCTCCCAGACCAATTCGGATGGCTAAATGTGAGTGGAATCGACCCCCTCCTTCCTTCCCTCAGGACCACCTAAGTGGACCCTGCCCCAGCCCACATTCTCCTTCCCTAGCAGAGAGTCTGCTACACAATGGAGTGGAGGTCTTGGCTCCTTCCACACAGCGACTAGCGAACCAAACCAACCCCTTCCTGCTGGAGTAAAGCAAACGTCAGTCACATCGGCACCCCTCCCTCCTGGAGTGCAGGCATGTCCTCCACCGAATTGGGGAATCCAATCCAGCCAGCAGAGAGGGGCCTGGGGCACATTCCCCTTTCCCCAGCTACCAGTGGTTGGGCCGCAGCCTGTGACTCAAGCATCACCCGGGTGGGCTTTCTTCCCAGGTCACAGATGGGCTCAATACCAATGGACTCCTGCCACACCTCAGCAGATGACGCCATTTCAGATAACTGCCCCTGGACAGAGCCAGGGACTGGGGGTGCCACCGGGTACATCCCCCCCCCAGCAATGCCTCAATAGGCTTTTGCCCAACCTCTGCCGATGGGTGGGCTCAAAAGGGGGGCTTACCACCCCAAGCACTCGACCAATGGCCCACTCCAATTCAACCACCAGCCCCGCCGGCTCCCAGGCCCCCAAGGTTCTGGGCAACATTTGATGGGACCCCAGAGAAGCTGGCTTACTTCCTGAATCAAGCCTGGGCATACATTGATCAAGTCGGGGCATAATACACTTCTGATAGAGAGTTGATTCAAGAAATAGCTGAGGAAGTGAATGAAGGGGGGGCTGCACATTGGATAGCGGAGTTCCATGAGGAGGCGGCTCCTGATCTAGAAGATGCAGCCGGGTTCATCCAACTGATGCGCGCCCGATTTAGTGATGTGGCTCAATATGTGGAAGCAGAAGAGCCGATTCAGGGATTGCAACAGTCCGGTTGTCCCGTGAAGAAGTTAGTTTGATAGTTCCGGAAGGTAGCTGGAAGACTACGATATTGGCCAGAAAGACTTTTATTCTACACGTTCAAAAACGCCTTAGATCCCAAACTGAGAGAAGCTTGCAGCATAAAGGGTGTCCCAGAATATATCCAAGATTGATACACCACTGCAATCATACTAGACACGAGGTTAACCCTGATCGGAAGCCAGCTGCCGGAAGCCCTGCTAGGAAACCTTTGGCCCACTGAACGCAGATGCAGCGAGCTAAAAAGCCTCCACTCCCCTCTCGTCCCTCGGGGGGCAATAAAATGCTAGTGATGCAGTCAGCTTGGCCACAGAGCATCAGAATGCCTGGCTCCGGCCCTGGTTCCACAACCACACCCACCACCTGACAGTGCAATGAAGAAAAAACCCCGAAAGCCACCAGAAAAGATTCGTCTGGTACAACAGTCAACGGAGACGGAGAGTCCTGCCAGTAGGGAAGCCCCTACCACCTCAGAGGAGGAGGAGGAGGAAAATGCCAAAGATGACCCAATGGTGAGTCCACCCATTCGCCCCTTTATTATAAAATCCAAACTCCAAGTGCCAGAAACCAGGGTGGAAGGGGAAGTTGGGGCAATTGTGGACACCGGCTGCACCCGATACTTAATCAGCATGTTGATTGTGGAGCAGCTAGGCCTACGCACAAGACCCCTAACCCACCCTATTCGGTTTGAGCAAGTGGATGNGGAAGGAAGGAAGGAAGGAAGGAAGGAAGGAAGGAAGGAAGGAAGGAAGGAAGGACAATAGCAATAGTACTTATATACTGCTTCAGTGCTTTACAGCCCTCTCTGAGCAGTTTATAGAGTCAGCCTCTTGCCCGTAATAATCTGGGTCCTCATTTTACCAACCTCGGAAGGATGGAAGGCTGAATCAACCTTGAGCTGGTTAGGATCGAACTCCTGGAGTCAGCAGTGAGTTAGCCTGCAGTACTGCATCCTAACCACTGCCCCACAATGAATCCAGTTAGTTAGTTAGTTAGTTGAATTATATGGCTATCCATGTCCTTTTTCTGTGACTGTAGGTGGCTTACAATCAAATAATTAATATACACAACAGGAAAAATAAAAACTACAAATCAAATAGCATTAATTAACCAGTCCTTACAGCTTACCTGTTTGCTTGCTCGGATGTACACTTTTTCCTTCTCAATTTTCACCTAGAAGGAGAAAGAACACCTTCATGTTTCATGATGCAACTTTCACCCTCATTAAAATAAGTGTTTCATCATTATATAAACCTAGCCCAGCTGCCCCGCCCCCGCCCCCAATGAAAAACAAATTGTCTTCAGGGGGAACGGTGTCAAGCGAGATGCCCAGCCTGACCCAGCAGAGGCTCAGATCGCCTCCAAAGTCCTCCCATACCAAGGATCCAAGGTCATCCCCAACACATGGTTGACTTCAGCTTCTCTTGGAAACCTTGAACATGTGCAACATTTGAACATGTGTAAATCTGACATCTGTCAGAGGTGCTCAGGTTCAATCATGCCCAGGTTGACCTCTAAGTTCCTTTCCAACCCTAGGATTGTACGAGTAAAGACCAAAGAAATGGTCTCAGAGCCAAGAGTTGGCAAGACATTTGTGGGACAGCATCGGCTGCTATTCCAGACAGTGATCCTTATGCGCCATTATGTCCATAGCCGCTGACAAGGAGAGTGTATGTGTATGTGTTTTGTGTAGACTGCCATCTCCTTTCAGCCCCTGGCCTGCAGGACTGACAGAGTAAAGCTGCATTCAATTTTTGGTCACCACATTATAAAAAAGAGGTTGAGACTCTAGAAAGAGTGCAGAGGAGAGCAACCAGGATGATGAGAGGACTGGAGGCTAAAACATATGATGAACGGTTGTAGGAGCTGGGCCTGGCTGGTCTAGTGAAGAGAAGGACCAGGGGAGACAGGATAGCAGTCTTCCAATATTTGAGGGGCTGCTACAGAGAGGAGGGGGTTAACTATTCTCCAAAGCACCTGAAGGCCAGACAAGGAATAATGGATGGAAATTAATCAAGGAGAGATTCAACAGAAATAAGGCAGCCGGTTGGACTAGATAACCTACAAAGTCCCTTCCAACTTTGTTAATCTAAGCTGGGCTACTGAGATACTGTTTGGGTCCCAAACTGCCTCCTTCTTGCCCATCCTGTCTTTGCCTTAGAACCTCAGTTGACCTGGCCAGGTGTGTCAGGGGAAAAAAACCCTCAAAGGTCTTTGATAGCTCCCAGTTCAAGGAGTCCCAGTCTGTAAACTTTTCAAGATTTCTCAATCTTGCCTGCTTGAAGATGTATGGATTTTATGCTGCCTGGGGAATTCTGGGAATTGAAGTCCACGCACTTTCAAGTGGCCAAGGTTGAGAAATTCTGGTCTAGGGATTAAAGGGAGTGGCTTGCTGGGATATTTGCCAGGGACTCTGGTCAATAGACTGGAGGAGGTAATTTGTCTGAAGTCATGCAAAGGGGAAGGGGGAGGGAGAGACTGCTGCACATTCCCAGGGGCATAGACTGGGCGAAGATCACAGGGCATTTTCTTCAATGACCGGCTGCTGGCTTGCTGTTAATCTGCAGACCTCTCACCTGGAATTTGGGGAGACTATCCAGCCCTGGGAAGTCTTCGATATCGCCAGTGCCGATGTTGAAGCAAGCCCCATGCCAGGGGCAACGGATCCGGCCTTTGGACAAGACTCCTGCAGAAAGAAAGCAACAGCAAAATTAGTCCCCCTCTTGACTGGAAATAGGCAAACGGTTGATTTTCGCTGCTTTGACACAAAAAAGAGGTAGCTGAACAGAAAGTAAGGTTTGCCATGAGTTAAACACTGCAGGAGGAGATCTGAGCTAATTCTATAGCAGTGCCTCTTAACCTTAGCAACTTTAAGATGTTAGGACTCCTCCAAATTCCCCAACCAGTATGAGTGGGTTCCTTCAACTCTGGGAGTTGAAGTCCATCTCTCTTAAAATGGCCAAACTTTACAATCTTGATCTTCAATCTTGATCTTCAATCAAGATCAAGGGAGGTACTAATACCACACCTACAAAGCCCTAGTAAGATCACACCTAGAGTACTGCATCCACTTTTGGTCACCACACTATAAAAAAGATGTTGAAACTCTAGAAAAAGTGCAGAGAAGAGCAATCAGGATGATTAAGGGGCTGGAGGCTAAAACATACGATGAATGGTTGCAGGAACTGGGCATGGCTAGTGAAGAGAAGGACCAGGGGAGATAGCAGTCTTCCAGTGCTTGAAGGGCTGCCACAGAGAGGAGGGAGTCAAGCTATTCTTCAAAGCACCTGAAGGCCAAACAAGGAATAATGGATGGAAACTGAACTAGAAATAATTTTCTGACAGTGAGAACAATCAACCAATGGAATAGAAGTTGCCTTCAGAAGTTTTGGGAGCTTCATCCCTTGAGACTTTCAAGAAGACACTGGACTGTCATCTTTCAGAAATTGTGTAGGGTCTCTTGCTTGGGTGGGGTTTAGACTAGATGACCTATAAGGTCCCTTCTGTTAATCTGTTAACTCTGTTAATCTTCAAATTTAACAGTTGGAGCAGGGGTCTCCAACAGTGACAACTTTAAGACTTGTGGACTTCAACTCCCAGAATTCTCCCAGAAGTCCACAAGTCTTAAAGTTGCCAAGCTTGGAGACCCCTGCACTGGAGAACAAAAGCTGCCCAAAAGGTTTGCAAACAGAACTCCAGTCTGCCAAGGAATCATTCTGGCTTCTACGCAGACTACGGTATTTGAGAGGCAGAATGGAGCAGAACAAGTGTGCTTGTGGATGTAGAACACACACTTGAACAATATCTCAAGTCTTTCAATCACACCCAGGTACTTGTCTGAGCAGTGCTGACATACACTTAAAAAACCTTGATGGTGGCAGGTGAGCATCCATCCTCTTTGATGTAGAAGAGGCTCAGAATTACCTTGGCACTATTGCTAACTTTGGCAGAGATGGAGCTGCCGAAAGTTCTGGGAGCTTGAAAAATTGACATCAAGGGTATTTCAAAGGCTGGAAAGTGTTCAATGTTATTATTTCAATTTGCCATTGATGCGTAAGGCACTGGAAGAGAAAATAATCACTTCATTTCTGGAGTGGCTGACCACGAGCTCTTCCTCTTGAGAATATTCCTGTCAGATCCCTAAAAAGTGATACTGCCATTCAATTGGGAGGAGGGGGGCCTTGGAGTCAATTTATTGGCAATGCCTGTGACAACTGATATTTTACAACTGGTTTCCTGCAGCCGAAAGGCCAGAGATCCCACCACCTTTTGGGGAATGTTTATGATGGCTGTGTGGGGTGTTTTACTTTAATGCCTGACAAAGATAGCCATGGGAATGTATGTTTATTCAGCCTCAGAGCAGTTGATAAAGGAAACATCTTCACACTTGTATATTGGTTAGAATTTGCATGGGAGGTTTCACTACTGCTTTAATTCTACCTGCATTGCCTAAGGGGATTCAGATGTTGCTTTGCCTTTAATGGTTTCCATTCTTCTTAATTAAAGGTTCCTTTTGAAATAATCTGTTTCAAGAGTCTTTACTTTCTTATGTTAGGCAGCACTAAACTCCCAAAGGTGCTTTTTCAACTGGTCTTTCTGGTTTTTTTCTTTGAAGACATTTCGCTTCTCATCCCAGAAGCTTCTTCAGCTCTGACTGGATGGTGGGGAATGGAAGGATTTATACTTCTTGCAGACAGCTNTCTCTTCTTTTTCCTTCTTCCTTCTCCTTTCTTCTTCATTCCCCTCTTTCCTTATTTTTCCTTCCTTGCTCTCTTCCCATCTTCTCTTCTTTTTCTTTGTCTTTCCTCTTTCCCTTTCTCCTTTCCTGTCCCTTCTTGCATGCTCAAATGCAAGAGGGGAAACGTTTCTCCTTTCATTTTGTTCTGCTTTTAGTTTGTTTTGCTAGCCCTCTGCCAGCGAAAACAGAGCTTGGGGGGGTGGGGGCAGTGCCCCCGAACTCTGTTCTTGTTGGCAGAGGGCTGCCGGAGGCTGCTGCCACTGCCAACGGTGCTCCATTTTCACTGGCAGAGACTGGTCCTATGCGGTTTTCAGGGCGGCTCCATGGACCAGATCTAATCACACTTGTTTAATAGATTTGCAGTCCTTTTATACAAATAAAATAATTTACTTAAAACTTGTAGAGGGAAAAAACAGAAAAATGCCACTTCTTCACATCCCAGCGAAGCCAATAGGAACAGATATTTAGACTGGCGGTACATGGCTCTCCTGCCTGATATTGCTATCAGTATTGTTCACACCCTAATCTTTTTGTAATAGCATAAACCTGAATGTGATTCACGCTAGTTCAGAAGGTACAGATGTGCATTACGATGACCATCAAAATTTGTTATGATGAAGACTTTATCTAGGCATATGAAAAACAACAATATATCCCCTTTACTTGTGTGTGTAGCAGTAACCATCTGTATGCAAATCTTTCCCAGATCTGAATAATTCTACGTTCTGGGTTCTGTTAATTAAAGCTGCAGTTCTTACCCACTTTCCTGGAATAAGTGCAAGATCTGATTCTTTTATAATATCATGGGATGCTAATGAGTGAATGAAGGAAGCAAAGCTTTCACTTAGAATTCTGCAGGTTTTAGGGGGTGGAAACTGTTCGGGGAGGATTACCCAAGCCTTTGCCTAATTAATGGATAGATGCTTTGTCTCGATCTTATGCAACACACAATGAAAGAGAAGTTTTGAAGCAATTGGCTTTGATGACAACTTGTAACTATAGAAACATTGGCATGTAAGCGGTAAGTCGGGGTACAAGGCATTTGAAAGAGGGACTTTGTACTACAACGAGCCCGTGAATAAAGCTTCTCTCCTTGAGCCATTAAAACAATTGTGCCTTTTGAAAAGATGGTTCAATTGTTTCAAAAATCCGATATCTACCAGGTTCCTTTAGAACAGGATTTCCCTAGCGTGGCAACTTTAAGGGACATGGACTTCAATCCCCAGAACTCCCATTCCCATTGGGAGTAAAAGCCATCACTCCCTGAATCCTAGCTTCTGAACCAGTGACCCACAGGACAGTCGGTGTGCCCGATAATTGGGGAGCATTGAGATGGGGTGGGTTTCAAAAATGTTTACTACCGGTTTGGTGGGCGTGGCTAGATGGGGGCATGTGACTGAGTGGGCATGGCCAACTTGACATCACTCATGCACACTTAGTCACATGACCCCCTCACCAAGCCATGGCCACTGAAATGGTGACGAAAATTTTTGATGAGGGGGGGGGCGCTCCAGTCTCACTGGAGCTAAGGGAGCACCTGCAAACTACCTAGTAAGAAAAAATTGTTTTTGTCCTCCCCGGCACCCAAGAACACTCTGCAGGCTTCAGCAGGGCTGGGGGAAGGCAAAAATGCCCCCATTTTTGCAAAAAATGGACCAAAATTGGCCCGTTTTTTTGCAAAAAATGGAGGCATTTTTGCCTTTCTCCAGCCCTGCCAAAGCCCGCAGAGTGCTTCTGGAGGCTGGGGGAAGGCAAAAATGACTTCTCTGGGACTCTTTCCAATGGCACTTCGGAGAACTGGGGATGTACTTCCCTCTCTCAAGTCTTTTGGGGTTTCCCCCCCCCTCCAGGCAGGTCACACGCTGGTCCAAGAGCCCTTGCCCACCAGCTCTAGGGAGTGGTGCTCATCTCCATTTCAAAGCCAAAGAAACAGCGCTGTCCGAAGACGTCTCCGTGGTCATGTGGCCGGCATGACTAAATGCCAAAGGTGCACAGAATACTGTTACCTTCCCAACAAAGGTCATCCCCATTTTTCTACTTGCATATTTATGTGCTTTCAAATATATAGTATACTGCAGCGTAATCCATAAGGGACACTTTAAATACTCTTCCTTGGTAGTCTTAGGAATCTGTTACTTTATTGATGAATTTAAATATAATTCTGATTTTTCTGCTGGAGTGTGTGCATTCAGTCTAAAGTAATTATGAAACCTATGGCAAAATGGTTAACATGACATTTGGGATGGAAAAAAAGGACACACAGATTAACCAAATTCATGTGTAATGTATTTCTGGTTCCTTTAACAGACCATTCCAAAAACTCTCAACACATCATTGTTTGAAATAAAAGAAGAAGAAAAAAATTACACACCAACACTCTGACATTCAGAACCTTAATTAGTCACTCTGTTTGGTTGCTGAAATATTTTTTGTAAGCCAGCAAAATGAAAACATGGCTTCAGGTTTCTTTTTCGGGAAATATGACAACACGGAGTAATGCTGAACAGATTTATGGAGCTTCCTGAAGTTTATCACACAGCTATTGTGTGTGAGATCAAATGAAACATCGTAGAATCATCTTAGCTGCATTCAGTTGGTAGTCATCACTCCCTGCTATCATCAGGGTGGCAGGAGAACACATTGATCCAGTCGAGAACTTGTTATATAGAGCCTTGTTGACCCTAGTGATGGAACATGGCACCATGATTATTGCAATTCTAGCTTTAAGCTTATATCCCAGGGCCTCCCACAGCTTTTATTTTGAAACACTTTATATCTGAAAAACAAAATTAAGAGAGTGAGTCAAATCTTTGAGCGTCTGGTCCTGAGAGCCTTCATCCCTGGAGCTAGGCTCTTCAGGACTGCCAGAACAAAGGGATGTCTTATCTTGATCAGACTGACTCTGGAACAGGCGGTGGCCTGGCATTGGTGACCCTGCCCTCTTCTCTTTTCTTGTCCTTTAGTCTGTACTCCTCCTTCGGGAGTCTGTGTAGGCCCAGGACCCCTTGGAGGGCTACACCAGTGACGCCACTTCTAGTCATAACTCCGTGATCTCCAGTGGGCTCTCCATGATCACTTCTCTCATCTTGTGCATAGGGGTGGATTTGGCAGACTCTGTACGAGCATTTCTGTCACTGTAGGACCCACCTTCAGCAGTCAGTGTCTCTAAGGAGCGAGCTAGTATTTTCTGATCATCCTCAGGAAGGCTGTTGAGGTCCGAGGTGAGGAGTGTGCCTGTGCTACCATGGACCACATGGATGCCATCAGGTCCCTTGAGCTCAATAGGCTGCTGATGCCGAAAGCGAAGACTCCCTTGACTAGGGCTCCTTGGTTCTTCCTCCTCATCATCCAGATCATTCTGTATCAGCTAGAAAAAAAAAAACCAGGATGGAAATCAACATATTGTCAACTCCCAACGTTGTCATAGTGAGAGAAGGGGGGTGGAGTGCATTCCACGCATACTGTCAGCTGAAGTCGGATCTCAGATTACTGCAGCAGGCTTGGGAGGGGTGCACCTCATTGGGGAATGTGATTTATGACACAGACTTAGAGGAGGGAAGGAACAGGGTTAAAGTTCAGCTATAGGTCAAAGTTTATACCTGACTGTGAAAAGATCTTGCTTACGATGCTCCTAATAGATGACTAGTTTTGTATTGAAACTTGACTCGATACTGATGAATCAATTAGGACATTTTTAGGAAACCTTACACGTCATGTATTTTGCTTTTTCTCAAGCTGATTTTTCCACTGTTTTCAATACTACCTTTCCGCATGAATCAGAATAGACTCCTGATGGAACTATTTCTGAAAATCCTCGTTATATCTAGAACCTAAGATGTGCCTCCCATTAATACACATGCAAATGCGAATGTCTTTCCCCAAGCTATTTTGCAAAGCAACAATCATTAGATCCCCCTTTTCTTTTTCAAACCGATGTACTATATGCAGTTAATACCATAAACTTACCGGCAAATAGTTTAGAACTGACATGAATAAAATGCATCAATGAGATCTATTAAAGATGTTTTGCCCTGTTTTTTTTATGAGCACGTGTTTCTTAAATCTTAATAGGCAAGAGAGCTTTGTTTCTATAAAAGTATTTTATAACAGTGTTAAAGAACCTGCACCTCACCTCTCTATCTGATACTAGGCCTGAACATCATAAACAAACCAGATATTCTGACCTAGGCTTCACAAAATCAGGAGGCAGATTCCTTATTCCAACAAAACCCCTTTTTATTAAGTTAATGTGAATTCCTCTCATTCACATCCAGCAAAGTCCTGGCAAACAGTCTTTCAAGGGTGAATTTACAACCACAGACCTTATCAGGCTTGGAGAGCTGCCAGGCTGATATATTGCAAATGCTAGGCTGTACAA